AATTAATGTAATATAATTTTTTTACATTTTCTCAGAAACCACGTAAATGTAACACATGCGGCCAGAATGCAACATTTGTTTGATAATGCAGAGAAACATTTACTTGCATTCTATATATGCACACAGAAACACATTTACGCAATGCAACATGAAAGTATTCTCTGCCCATTTATTGAGTATGTTTCATTGTGCAATATACCACTCTTAATGTTTATGTTAATATTTTACGCGACACTTGGAGTATCCATCTTTGTTGTCATAGCAACGATACCACTTTGCAGTTCTATAGCACCAAATAAAGCTGATTCGCTTTCAAATGATACATGTTGTGGGTGACATTAAATACCCCATATATGGCATTTTGTCAGAGTTTTATCAAGGTCTGGTAGTTACAGCAGCAACATTTTCCAAGATTACCACAAAAGAATGTAAATAAGTAATTCACACCAAAACAGAAATTTGGTTACATGTTTAATATTTAGTTAAACTTCACTGTCTATAACATCAAATAAATTTAATGACGCACTCCGACATCACTTTAAAATTACAATATTTCAATCTGCAACATTCAGTTTTGTTTGCTCTATTTAAAGCGGCACAACTTCTTCACAACGTTCATTTCAGATTCATGTTAATAAACTTTGGCATTAAATCACATTATTCTCTCATTAGCCCCACATCCTACAATTTTGAGAACTGTCAATCCTACTACGAAGATACAAGCAACTGACACAGAATTAACAACAGAGAGAACTACATCACAAAATGCAACTGGACCAGCTACACCTGTTACTGAGATATCATCACCGTTATACACCACAGATGAAAATGTACACACTCGTGCAACAGACTTAACAACTCTACATGAACTTACAGCACCTGAAACAACTGTAGATTCCACCATGACAACTACGCTTGGTAATACAATGGAATTGGCTAACGAATCAACAAGTGGTATGTACGACTGTCTAGTTTGTAATAGCATAGCCACGCATTGGCAGAATATGAATAATTAGATCAGTGGAAATGTATTATAATTGTTCTCAGATTTTTCTCGAAAACACTTTAAACTATGTGTCTATCACGCAGCAATTATTGAAATAGCGCAGAGTAATATATACTTGCATTATGAAAGCGCACATAAAAATACATTGACGCAACGCCACGTGATATGATCATACTTATATTGTTATATATTAAGGAAGTTATTTCTGCCTGGGTTTTGAATGTTTTCCACTGTGTCATGTTCAAAAAACGACACATGTGCGGATTCAACAAGTTTCTGAATCGTATATCACCCGCAATGTGTAGGCTAATAATACGCGCGCTACATGGGGATGTAATCTGGTTACATATTATGTATCTCAATGGACCTTTACTGTCTATTATACTCGCAGAACTTCACCGCTAAAATATCTGTAATAAGCCAGGTATTAAATCACTTTCGCCTCTCATTAGAACCACAGGCTACAATTGTACATAGCACTGTTAGCCCTACTACAAAGATACAATCTACTGGCACAGAATTAACAGGGAGAATGACATCAGCAAGTACTACACAACAACTTACAACTGGGTCAGTCGATGCAAGTTCAACTGCAGCTGCAACAGCTGTGGCCTCCACGAAGATCGCAACTGAAATACCGTTTCCAAACATATTAACACTATCATATGCAGGTATTCTTTTATCCTAAGTTATGCATAGTACACAAACTTGAATAAAAATCGTGCCATTATCAATGTGTTGTTTTAAAATCTCAATGAAATT